TGCCAAGCAATCGTGTCCGGTACATAGTCTAAACTCAACAACGGCTTCGATTCTTGGCCAGTCGGGTATGTCGGAGAGTGCCACTGTCCACTGTTTTTCCTTTGTTCGAGCTTTAAGTTCGTTGCACCTTGAGGTCTTGAATTCTCTCCTGATTAAGGCCTTCATTGTGTGGAAAGACATCGGCCGGTCCATGCATTGCAAAATCGTTGTCCCCTTCTTAGCAAGTGTGTCAGCAAGCTCATTGCCTTTAATGCCACAGTGACCGGGAATTCATTGTAGAACCACTGTTTTGTTTTTCTCTCTCAGCAGCTCATGGATTATCGATCACATTAACTTTAATTTCGCAAACAAGAAGTCAAGCACTGCCCAATAACACCATGTCTTTTTTAAATATCAATAAGGCATACTCTTTTTAATCGTCTTGATTTGTTTTGCCAAAATTTAGGCTTATGCGGCGCTCACCTATGACGCAATGCTCTTGATTGGAGTAGCCCTATTAAACCTCAGGGATACCATTTCGGTTCGCCCTGGGGCACTTAGTTGTGAAGGCGACCCTCGGGCCTTTTGGCCAGATGGAGAAAAGTTTATACAGTATGTCAAATCGGTATGTTCGCGTCTATTTTTTTTCAACCCTCTTTATATAGTGATCAAAATGCCTGTTCGTTTTCCTTAATCTAAACGTCAATTATTATTGCCAATAACAATCAATTTTTAGTCAATATACCTTACAAGTTATTCAAACAAGCAATAATGTTGTTTTTGGATGTAAATTCTTGTAAAAATATTGATAAACCATTTTATTGTTATTTTAAAAGTTGGTATAAATAAATTACGGTGGAATGCGTTTCGTTATGTGTATATTCTAAAGCAACCAGTGTTGTGTTTTAGAGTTATTTTACTCCATATTATACATATAGAATGATAATCGCTTTGTTTGCGCTAATAGATTTCTCTCTTTACTGCGGCAATGACCACTTGATTGGAAAGAATGCAATTCAGATGGGGCAGGGTTTCGCAGTCTAGTAAATGGGAAATGAATTTTTTGAGGTTAGGTGACTTTAAAAAGTTCCCATATGCAAGAACCGGAAAAATGTTTCATGTTGCCCAGAAGACGAAGTCTTTTTTGATAGTACTTGATCGCAGGAGTTCCCTTTGCATAACAGACTCATATAAAAGTTAAAATTATCATGGCATCCACGAAAAACTTAAGTCGACTATCATTAGAAAACCCCCTATACTGACTTGGAAATTCCGTACTTACAGCATTGCGCCATAGATGTAGCAAGTTTAAGCAGCTGGTGATGTACCGCCCGTTACATATTGGTAAATACATGCACAAAATTTGGAGGACCTTAGGGAAAACACGTCTGAAATATTTTAACCATTGGTAATGGATTTCACTGGAATTTTAACAGATAAAAAAATTCTGTAAATATCTGACAAAAGTAAAAAAGAATCAGCCTTTAGATCAGAATTCATTTATTGTGTTTGTGATATTTTGAGAAATGGGTAACTGTATAGTGGCTTTTTTAAATTTCATCTACAATTTTTTGCTTTTAAATCACAGATTTGTAATTTTATTCCTATTTGCACGGGTCTTCATTTTAATTTTTATGACTGAAATAGACTATTATATAGACCTCGTTTTCCAACTCAAATTCATTTGTGATGACAATTTTTTGGTAGACGTGTTTTTGTTTAGCTCAACTGCGCACTTTATTTATCGCGCCAAATCTGGTTTTGAGTTATATGAGAGCAACGGTGTGTCGGGCGAGGATTTGCCAGCGAAACAAATCCTTCTAATCTCGGATAGCCTCAACAACTCTTCTCCCTCCTTATAATTGCTTTTATCTCTAATTCAATTTCGGTCCTTCTGACCAAAGATTGATTTTCACCCTTTTGAGCAGCATAACTAGCCCACATGATCACACCCGGCTTGCTGAATTTCCCAAAGTCGACGCAGATGATAAGTATCAAAATGAAGTAACCATAAATGCTAAAATGTAAATAGTAGTATTAAGTTATTAAAGTTAATTTTGAACTTAGAGATTTGCACATATTCGACGGTCATTTATTTTAATAAGCAATTATGAAAGACTCGAAAGTCTTTTGTAAACATTAATCTATGGCCTTCAGGTATCTATGTGAAATGTGGTATTGTACTTTACAATTTCAGAAAATCATTAAAAATTCTGAATCACACTGCTATTGAACAGATAAACATGTTTCATATTAAGGTTCAGTAGTTAGACTACAAAGCCGATAGTGATAGATATTCCGTTACTCTCAAAATTATCACAAGTGGTTTATGTCTAGAGTCTGCATTGTATACCGATATTCTTGATTTGACGTTTGCATTGTTTTACATTTTCTTATATTTGAAGCACCAGTTCTAATTCTTATGAATCTCAACTGATTTCTGACAACTCCCAAGCAGATCATTCCGTTAAATGTTCATCTGTTCTTTCCGTTCCAATATATTGATCAAACTATTTGTCTTTAATTAACGGAGAGGTCACAAGATTAAAGTAACTCTGCACATATTTAATATTTTGAATGACCAAACGCCCTGGTTAGTTATTGTCCACTGTAAAATTTCTTCAGGAATAATGAAATCATTTTTTACTGATAGTGCAGCGGCTAGCATGTCTGGTTGCAAGTTCAGAAATCATAGATTTAACGGGTATCTGTGCACAACTGCGGAACTTAAAGGTTGTCCGCAGTATTTAGATCTGATTGATAAGTGAGTAAATGGATTTGAGATACGTGACTGTGTAAGATGATTGTTTAAAACGCTTTCCTAAAGGGATTTTGGAAAGATCACAGGACACAGAAGAAAGAAGATCCTGCAAAATAATTAGGTTTAAGATCTTTCAATTAGGAACCAAGTAAGTGGAATAGCAAGTCCAAAAGTAAATAAAATATTTTGGGACATACGATATTCCAGTGGAGAAGCTTGAGACCACAGCGGACAATTAAGCATCCAAAGTTTTGCAGTGGTGGGTGGTGGTTGCGAAATATCCATTAGTTTAAGAAGGTTGCCCCCACCCTTCAGAAAAGTACCAATTTTTTCTTTGACACAAAAAAAATTCGACGTCATAAAGTGTTAATGCATTGTCTCCTTATAACAGGAGGCCCGTGATCAGAACCAAAAGTTAAATGACTTGGGAGAATTTGATGTAAGTTATTGGTTTGCATACATTTTAACATGCTTGAATTAACCGTCAATGTTATGATTTTTAATTTCATCGGCTTCCCTTTACTGAGTCTGACTTTGTTTACAACTGAAACAAAATAGTCCATGAATTTCTACTATCTGCTATGCTAATATGGCTTCAGCTAGCATTTTGTGCTTGCATAACCTGTTTCCTTACTGGGGTTTCCTTGTTATTATCCTATTCGGACTGGGTATTAATCCATCTTTCCTCTAATTTTAAAGCCGAACACATCTAATATTCCAACAATTACTGGAGACATACATTTTGATAGCCAGGGCTATCGATCAAACTTTAATATGAGCATTCTCAGCCTCCAAGACAATGGAATGCAACAGGTAGGCTTACACTATAATAAATCCTCTAATCTGACAGGCAGATTCGTTACACACATATATACTTCTTTCATTTAGATTGGATACTGGACTCAGAGAGACAGACTGCAAATTACGCGTCCAATAAAGAGGAAAAAGAAGGTTTCGAAAAAACCTCTCACTTCTGTTGCTCTGCGAGTTACTACTGTTGCGGTATGTCAGGACTTTTTTGTACCAATTGTAGTTTAAGCTAGTCACTAAGTCCCATTTAATATGCGCCACCGCTTAGATGAACTTCAATCTAATCTTAGACTGACATTGTATACTGATCGAGACCGTTGTTAGGTCTGCTCCGTTCTAAAACAAAGGATAATTCATTGATTGAGGAAATGTATTTATTCTTAGTGATTTTACTAATCGGAGAATGACTGACAACTTAGTGAGCCAATAGTTGCCTAACTGACGAGATCGAGTATACAGCTTGAGGACTCATGCGGAGGTGCATAGATGTAGAAGATAAATACAATGCAGTTTCCATTCAAGTGAATTTTATTGCAAGCAGATTGTTCATTTCAGTCTGATTTCTGACCAACTTACCAAACGGCATCAATTACCATAACAAAATATTGCGATATTAAAATTTTGTCTTCCTTTTTGAACCCACACATAGTGATATCTTACCATTTTTTTTGCTGGGGACCTGAGTCAAAAAATGTCTAGAATTTTGTAAGTTATTTTACCTTCTCAACTTTGTAAGCCAAATATGGATGGCTTTACTAAACACGCGAGTTTACCATAAATTGAAAATAAAGTAGGAAATTCAAAGGTAGTTTGACTTAAATCATTTTTCGAGTACTATTTTATTTACTAAAAGAATATCTTCCCACCTAGGCTAAGTAAACAAAAAAAATATTATTTTCTTGAAGTTTATAAGTTGAAATTATTATATTATATTATTTTACCTCTAAAGGAGAATAAATGTGTACTTTTTTTAATTTAAAATAGAAGCTGCCACGTCGCCAATAACCTTGGAAAGAATAAACTGTGGCAAAAGGAGAGTTTAATGTCCGAACTGAAGTCTTAAACTTGGCGAAAGTGGTTTCTTTTTTTTCAAACTAGTTGAGAAATGCAAATAAAGATGATGAGTGATGGACGATTGAAAACAATTTTTTGACCGCCATTTCGCTAAATGTGTAAAGTATTGGGAGCTGCACACCAAACCCTGACTGATCATGGTTGCAAAATGTCGTTTTGTAGTGTGTGGAGATTCCATTAGTTAGGAAACAAATGTATTTATAAACTTGCCTTGAAGGGAGTCTTCGATGATGACTTATTTTGATCCCCCTCTCCCCACCCTAATTCTGATACTGCTATTGAAAATCGTGATTCAAGAAGATCAACTCCCCTTTAGGATATCTGCTCAAAAGTATATTTTATATGTAAATCTTCATATGTGCATCTATTTTTGTTAACTCTATTCCTGAATTTTATTAGGACACGCCGTTTGTGATCCCTAAGAAATATGACGCCTATGGAAATCCGTTGAAAACTCCAGATGCATGGGACGGCTACTGCGTGGATCTTCTGAATCTCATAGCGGCCGATGTGGGCTTTAACTATACCATTGAAATCACAAAAGATCATTACGGTTCTCGTCAAAGGAATAATGAGACCGGGGAATATTACTACGATGGTATTATTGGAGTTGTTAACAGAGGGGTGGGTTGCTAACCTAATATTACTCTATTTACTCATCACATTTTGACTACCTATTGAACTGTTTAAAAGTATTCATAAGGGTAAGAAGAAAGTGAATCCGTTTCTTGCGTTTAAAGTGCAGTTCAGGTAAGTTTTCACCACTTTAGTACTTGTCCGCCAAGGAGAGATGGGATTTATTTAGGGAGTAAATATCAAGAGCTTTACGGGTGGCGTGACTTCGCATTGTCAACATTGGCATAAGCATATGATAGCTCAGAGTTCTCAATTAGGAGTTTGAAAAATCATTAAAATTTATTTAAATAAGGTTACTTTTGTTCCAAATTTAAGGTACAAACAAAACTATTCTCAAGGTCCAATTAGTGGATATTTAATTTGTGGGAAATTTTTTAACCTTAGAGTTGAAGTTTAAAAATACCGCTGTAAATGAAAAAAATAAAAGGCCGAAAACATAAAGGGCACCATTTTTAACCCTTATAAACTTGTCAAACTTTTGTAGGTCATTTGAAACTGAGTTATCGCTTTTAATTTAGATGATTTCACTGCTTTCCAGAGATGGAGAGAGAGAGAGAGAGACAGAGGTGTATAATTCGTTGCACCATTGTGGTACTGTGATTGTTCAATGTATATTCAATTTCCATTGTATTTTTAAACTAATGAACTTCCTTTTTCATCAAATAGAGAGTTAAAGCAGGTGGATCCTGAAAATTGTACCACCATCACAAATTCACCAAACAGTGAGAATTTGAATGAATAAAACTCTACATATTGCCAATTCACAGTCAAAAGTTGTAAAAATTTAAAACATTTGTAAATATCAGAAAGAAGAAACGTGGAGGTATAAAAGATGAAGGAAATCGAAACGAAAAAGGATTCTTGTAGAGACTTTCTTTGTTTGTAGTGTAAAAGTATTTATTTGTCAATTTTTGAATGTCGTATTTTATTCACTTTTAAAGGCCTTAATGTTCAAATTTTATCGATAAGCCCTCAGATTTGTGTTGGAGAATGCATTCTGCTGGTGGGTTGGTCAGAATACCTTGATTTATCTACACGCAGATGAAACCAGCGAAGATTATACTTGGCGGGATTTATTCGAATGAACAGGATCCATTTTGATAGCAAAACTGAGTCTGCAATATTAGTTGCTTAAAATTGAAATACTAGTCTAGAAGTGGGATGGAAAGACGACTTAAGTCCGGAGCAGGTTTCCTTATGACCGATTCTATGCAGGACGATTGGAAAAAGAGGCAACTCATGTCATCTTCTTTTCTTCAGGAAGCCGACATTGCTCTAGCTGCACTGACAATTACCTACGAAAGAGAAATGGTTCTAGACTTCACAACACCCTTCATGACCCTCGGAGGAAGCTTGCTATTCATGCGGCCAAAGTCTCAAAAACCCTCTATCTTCTCATTCCTTCAACCATTATCACCTACGGTAAGTCAGTCTCAACTCTACTCTATTGTGGCACCGCTTGATCAAATCAAGTTATTAGCTATTCATTTATCTCAAAATTTATAATACTGGTTTGCTCTTAAGTAAATTTCCGATTGAAATAACTGGAATGGCGCAGTTTGGTTGAAAATTGCACCTTATTCATCATTTAAAATTTTTCTCCGCAATCGCTCAATGCATGGCTTGTAAATAACTTTATGGTACAAAGGGATTAACGGATTTTGCGGGCTTAAGCAATTCATTCCTATCTACCCAAGTGATGTAAATATTTTGGCATTCAAATTCCTATCTTTATTTCTCATTTTATGAAATATTCATTAATCCCCAAATGGTAATTCTCTGGGTTGGTTCAAAATGATACAGCTCGCTTTGGTAATTGTTAGTTTAGTGGCAAAATGATTCAATGCACAATTGATAACCTCGTTTATTTACCTTAAGTTCATAAGAGGAGAAATTTTTTCTACTCGTTATATATTTACTAAAACCGCCTTCAAATGAAAATTCGTATGGTAGTCATAGTTGTTTAAGCCAGAGGTATTAGCCCACATTTTGTATGCCTCAGGGAGGCATAGGATTAGTTTCTAACAGAGGGAAGATGGGCAGACACCTGCATGGAGCAGATCTTGATATGGAAATTTGTGTTTAGGCTTTATCCACATTACTTTCTGTTAACGATATGAGAGCTATGCATACTTTGAGGATTAGAATATATGTAAATGGTTTCGGAAAAAAACAGGCTTCTTGACAAGTAAACAGTTTCAAACCTGTTGAAGATTGCTAGTAAACTGGACGCCTCCACGGACACTGTCTCAGATGCGGATTTGAAGAGTTGCATGTACACAGATAAGCCGGGTAATGCTCTGTTCTAACCTAAGGTTTGCTATTAGTCAAATTCATCACACAACATAATGAATAATAAATCTTCGGGTATTGCACCATCTGTATTGTATTCAGATAACTTAGACTACCACAGGGGTTTATCAATTTCATTTAAATTACGTACAAAAACATCAAACGAAGTCGGTAAGCTCAACATCTTCTCTTCTATTTCTAAATCTGTGTCTATAAGTAGAAAGTTCTTTCTATCTGGGTGAATATAGTTGCTTATTTAATTGTTATTTAGTCATTATGAGCACTTTATACTATTCTTATTAATTATAAGCTGATTTCGTATATATAATTTGACTTAAGGTGTGGGCCTACGTGATAACGACCTACATTGTGGTGTCAGTAGGTCTCTTCTTAGTTGCTCGTCTGAGTCCTTACGAATGGCAGAACCCACATCCTTGTGAAGCATTTTCGGAGGAGAAGGAGAATCAATTCACTGTTCTCAGCAGCTTCTGGTTCTTTATTACGCCCCTCCTTAATCAAGGTATGTTTTAACCCATTTGAATTTGAGCTTTTATCAATTGTTGATCAAGATATAGGAATTCTTAAATTATTTTCGTAAGATATTTTTAAGTTGAAAATTAATCGGTTTTGATTTTAAACACACTCATAGAACGCTAGACTACTAACCCTAGACTTATTTTTGAACCATGTTTGCTCAAGAAGCACATTCTAGACGTTATTAGTCAAATATTTTGCTAGACTATCAGCAGGGCAGAAAGATATCATTTGTCTGACGCTTTGAATCTCAATGCCCCTCCATGTATACATTGATGTACTTTAGTGATCCTTCGTACTTCATGCTTAAGTACATTCCCTTCACTTGTTTAATCCATCTTAGTGAAACATAGTGGGACGATTCTACCTCCTATACTCTTTCACCTTTCACTCGCTCATCCATACTTTAACTGCCATTTCACAATAGACTTTAGTCTTTAATCAAAGCTTGGTGTTTGTCTTATTAAAACTATACATGTCTAATAGACGTGGTACTCGATCTTACTCTCTTCGCTATGAGTCCTAAATTGTTGAAAGGATAAGAAACAGACATGGATTAAGTGTTTGCTAATTAGAGAGGCCATCGTCGACATTTCAACTACAAAATTAGTTTGTTAACTGTACGACTTCTGGTTTGAGAAAGGGTAATTGAAGCTGTACAAGGGTGACTAGACATTTTTTTGAAGAGACGTGCATTGAATTTGACACCAATTCTAAGGTGCTTTTTTCAAGCACTCTTGCCGGTTCCAATTCTCCAAATGACTCCAAGTTTGGAACTGAAAGTCCTTTTAATCGATGCTTTTGAATAAATTTGATCCTCTCCATAATGCAAGGCCATTGAGTTGTTTGCTGCAAATAGTTACATACAGCTGGCAACTTCATACGTCACTTTTTCGCTCGATTTCCCATAAGGTGAAGATCTGGGCATTTAAAAATGGCGCTCTACATTATTGGTAGTTGTAGTTATAATTTTCCAAGCGAGCCATAGACTTACATGGCATATTGATCGGTTTGTTCTAGCCATGAATTTATGAAAACTTGATTTTCTTTTCAACATTTTATCTGTTGTCTCGAAAGAATTCTAAGGCAAATAAAACCAGAAGGATTCTTCGTTGGAATCCACTTTGCTGAAGCTTAGCAGTGGACCTTCCAAGAAAAATTTGTCGAGCTATTATTTCAAATGCCGAGGATCTGTTTCAGTGTAATCTAGAGATCAGTCTTCCACTAATACTAAGAATCTCGTTAAGTCTGATTTTTCCGAACGCTCTTAGAATAATGGACAAGGCCGTAATAACATTCGTTTTTTCTCGGAGATCTCTACAAGGCTTCCGTTTACTTTAATTGAGAGTCTTTGTTGATATCTGTTTACTGATTAAGCACACGCCATTTACCAATTATCCAGGTACTGAAATGGCTCCACATACAATTTCAACTCGTCTGCTCACTGGTATTTGGTGGTTCTTCGCCCTGATTGTCATCTCCACCTACACAGCCAACTTAGCAGCCTTCTTGACCGTTGATACTACTGAATTACCCATTGAAAGTGTGGAAGATCTAGTGGCACAGACGAAAATTAAATATGGAACGCTTCAATCCGGTGCTAGTCATGACTTCTTCAAGGTAAACTAACCTTCTTATTCAATTTTTCTTAAAGATATATTTTATGCAATAGTCTAGATATATCTAGAAATGGGAAATTATTACTTCCGAAAGCTTGGTCCTAAAAGTACGTGAAAATGGAAAACTTACAGATCTTCTTATGGGAGAATCTGAAGATCTATATAGATATGCAAGGTGTAACAGAAAGTATTGGAGAGGGGAGGTGACTGTCCTGCTTCAATAGTCAGTAGATGACTTTGCGTTTTCGTATGTTTGGAGTTCGATGTTCTCAGTGATCCTACATTATCCTGCATTATTTTGAATCGTCCACTTCTATCGTAATGCCAGACAAGATTGTTAACTGATTTTAAAGTCCGCCCCTCCCCTTCCCTAATGCCTCAGTAGTAACCCCTTTGGTGGTTTAAGAACTATTAATTCTGTTTTAATCTTAACAAAAATCTCTTTAATCAAGAATGTGAAAACATATATCCTCTCAAGGCATTAAGATGTTGATTTAGATTCATATTAATAGATAACTTAATCACACATATGTCAATTGGAAGAAGCTTCCATATATTATGGAGGTTTCTAGATAGAGAGGGGGGTTGGGGAAACATCCAAATCAGTTTGACAGAAGGCAAACTTTATTCTTAACCTTGAAATAAGCAAACGGGCAAGTAATATGAGTATGAAGGAAATATAGTAGACATAAATAGGATGCGTCATTTCCCCAAGAGGGTATAAAAAATAAAATATTTCCCTAATATTAAATTAGAATTTCCTCCTTGACTTGAGAAAACTTATACGGATATTGCCTATCTAATTTCTACTATCCTACCCACGGGTAAGAGTTTGTAGCGAATTGCTACCTTAGTAAAGCCTGACTGACTCAGGAATCTCTATGGCAAATTCTCCAACATCTAGCTAGACTCCCAGAACCAGCTAAGCTATAGCCCAGCTATAAAGGAAACAGACATGTAGCACGGAGCACGTTTATTCAATACGTATATCACGGATAGTGTTTACAGGAAGGAAACCAGTCATACAACATGGCGGATTTGATAAAACAAATGAGGGTCATTGAGCTGCTATTGGCTGCGTGCTCTTGTCCTCAATCAGTACGCGAAGTTGTACGGCCGCACCTCAAGCCTATGTGTACACGCATGCGATGACGTGTCCCACAAGTTGGGTGAAAATTGCTGGCAACG